TATTGTCTCATCTTCAGCCTGCTGCCGAGCTTCTTGACGCTCGACCGGAGCGGCTATGTGGTGGGTCTCAATGAGACGATTCCTACGCTCATCAAAAATGATTTTCACAGCATCCTCATCTTCAGCCCGGTGCTGAGTTCTTTTACTCTCGATCGGAGTGGCTTTCTCGGGGCCCGCAGTTTTGACATCCTGGTCTTCAGCCCCGGGTTGTTGTCCTTGACACTCAACCGGAGCGGCGGTTTGGCGGGTCTTGTTGAAACGCTTCATGCACAAGTTAAAGACATTTTTTATTGCCTCATCTTCAGCCTGCTGCCGAGCTTCTTGACGCTCGACCGGAGCGGCTATGTGGTGGGTCTCAATGAGACGATTCCTACGCTCATCAAAAATGATTTTCACAGCATCCTCATCTTCAGCCCGGTGCTGAGTTCTTTTACTCTCGATCGGTGTGGCTTTCTCGGGGTCCGCAGTTTTGACATCCTGGTCTTCAGCCCCGGGTTGTTGTCCTTGACACTCAACCGGAGCGGCGGTTTGGCGGGTCTTGTTGAAACGCTTCATGCACAAGTTAAAGACATTTTTTATTGCCTCATCTTCAGCCTGCTGCCGAGCTTCTTGACGCTCGACCGGAGCGGCTATGTGGTGGGTCTCAATGAGACGATTCCTACGCTCATCAAAAATGATTTTCACAGCATCCTCATCTTCAGCCCGGTGCTGAGTTCTTTTACTCTCGATCGGTGTGGCTTTCTCGGGGTCCGCAGTTTTGACATCCTGGTCTTCAGCCCCGGGTTGTTGTCCTTGACACTCAACCGGAGCGGCGGTTTGGCGGGTCTTGTTGAAACGCTTCATGCACAAGTTAAAGACATTTTTTATTGCCTCATCTTCAGCCTGCTGCCGAGCCTCTTGATATTCGATCAATAAGCGGTGGTGGATCGCATCGAGACGATTCCTACGCTCATCAAAAATTTTTTTTACTGCCTCAATTTCAGCCTGCTGCTCGATCAGAGCGACTGCTTGGCGGGTCTCAACAGTTCTTTCAAATTGGTTCATATTTATATTTTTGGATACTATTGTTTGATTTTCTTTAGATGACCATTACATTATTTGTCATCACCTTATTTGTAAATGGGTTGGAATTGTTGTGGGTGAGGTTGGTGTTATGATGATTGATGATGGTAATGTTGTTGTGTTGTTAATGTTAGTGGTGAGGCTGATGGTAGTGATGATGATGATGATGACAGTGACAAAATTGATGATGGTAGTGATGATACTAATGTTGGGGATGGGAGTGATGATGATGGTAGTGATGATGTTGATGGTAGTGATGATACTAATGTTGGGGATGGTAGTTATGTTGTTTATGGTAGTGATGATGTTGATGGTAGTGATGATGATGATCGTAGTGATGATGACAGTGACGAAATTGATGATGGTAGTGATGATACTAATGTTGGGGATGGGAGTGATGATGATGGACAGTGACGAAATTGATGATGGTAGTGATGATACTAATGTTGGGGATGGTAGTGATGATGTTGATGGTAGTGATGTTGATGATGGTAGTGATGATACTAATGTTGGGGATGGTAGTGATGATGTTGATGGTAGTGATGATGATGATGACAGTGACGAAATTGATGATGGTAGTGATGATACTAATGTTGGGGATGGTAGTGATGATGTTGATGGTAGTGATGATGATGATGACAGTGACGAAATTGATGATGGTAGTGATGATGATGATGACAGTGACGAAATTGATGATGGTAGTGATGATGACAGTGACGAAATTGATGATGGTAGTGATGATACTAATGTTGGGGATGGTGTGATGATGTTGATGGTAGTGATGATGACAGTGACAAAATTGATGGTAGTGATGATACTAATGTTGGGGATGGTAGTGATGATGATGATGACAGGGACGAAATTGATGATGGTAGTGATGATACTAATGTTGGTGATGGTAGTGATGATGATGATGATGAAATTGATGAGGGTAGTGATGATACTAATGTTGGGGATGGTAGTGATGATGATGATGAAATTGATGAGGGTAGTGATGATACTAATGTTGGGGATGGTAGTGATGATGATGATGAAATTGATGAGGGTAGTGATGATACTAATGTTGGGGATGGTAGTGATGATGATGATTGTAGTTTACACAATGTACACCACCTAGTTTGTTGGGTCTCTTCAGGTTGATTCAAACATATTAAAAATATTTTTGACTGCATCCTCATCTTCAGCCCGGTGCTGAGGTCTGCGACTCTCGACCTGAGTGGCTTTCTCGCGTTTCTCGAGGTGATTATTTATTTGAGTTGTATGATTAACATTTTACACAGCAGTTCTGACACCCTGATCTTCAGCCCGGGGTTGTGCTCCTTGATGATCAACCGGCGGGTCGTGTTGAGACGTTTCATGCACAAGTTAAAAATATTTACTGCCTCATCTTCAGCCTGCTGCTGGGCTATTGACGCTTGACTGGAGCGGCTATCTGGTGGGTCTCGATGAGACGATTCCTGTATGCGTTAAAAATATATTTCACTGCATCCTCATATTCAGCCCGGCGTTGACCTCCTGAAAGCTCAATCAGAACGGTTTCTCCTGGGTGCAGTGTTGCAAGAGGGAAAAATCGAAACATCCAAAAAAATACAAAAAAAAATAAATATGTATCCATAATCTTCTAAAAATAGCCAGTTTTATCTTTAATAATATGACAAATTTCTTAGTATCTAAAGATTTTGTAAACTTTCATATAGCCTATAGCTTCACAGCATACGATAGAGTATCCCATCGTCATTCATCTGGAAACGGAGAACAGATTGCTGGCCGTATCATCATTGGGTATGACTTTGCTTGGGAGATTGGTATCCCCGCATCCCCCTAGTATTGTTCTTGTGCGTTATGCAGAAGACCCGACAGCCGCACCCTTATCCACTACCTCCTAAGATGTCCCCACACACAACGCTTCCGTGACGCCTGCTGGACCACCACTCCACGACCCCCTGACGGAGACACGATGATCCTCCCCATACTGGCCAGATATTATGTAAATATCATTGATTATATGTTAAAGGAATATCCTTCCTTCCTTAGGCTTTAGTAAGCCCCTTTATAATATTTATACTGCATATACTTGTGACACTTGCCAGATGCTTCTGGTGTTATTGTCCAGGGGTACCTAGTGACAGCACTAGGATCCCGCTTCCTCTATCAAGGAATAAACAATTGAAATTGAATTGAACGGAGAATATTTCTACAAACTTCAAGAATTCTTTGTAATAATAGTAGTGTGATTCTATGTGTCGTTTTGTATTTCACATTTCTTGGTTGACCACAAGATCATGTAGGTTAGTTAAAAGTAAACCACAAAAACAGTTGGTTAAATAGTACATTTTATCACTACAGTAATTTTATTAATTAATAATTGTATCATGATGAACACAACTTCTGTCCACATTGAATTATATAGTAGTGTACAGACTGAAATTTTGACATATTTCTTGTATGACAACAAAGTTAAACTGAAATATAATAGTGTCATCAATAATTTTACTGATGATAAATGATATACTGTACTGCAATATTAAATGACTATATAAATTTTAAGGCTTTTCTAACATACAGTTTATAAATGAAATTGACATAAGAGAAAAAAGCACTGAAATTGTTCATTGTTTATGAAAAGTTTGACTGGTTAGAAGCAAAGTTAAAATAATGAATGAAATAATAGATATGATTATAAATATTTCCAACTTCAATATTAATGACGTGATCTTTTCCTCCCCTACTTATCTCTTAAAACAGCTTGAGCTGAGTCAATCCTCGAATCGCTTGGCTCCCATTCGTAGCATTTAATATCGCCCCCATTCCATTTTGCTAATAAAAGGCAATTTAACGACTCTGTGTTCAGCCTGTTTCTAACGTCCGTCTTTACGAGTTTTACTTAGAAGAATATTCTCTCCACTGCAGCAGAAGAGTGGGGAAGAACTTGTAAATCCAACATAAATTGTGAGTTTTGGGAACATAGACAGGAACGTGATGTGTTCGTTGAACTGAGAGTGACGGCACTGTGTGAGCTCGTTCAAGACAAGACTTGACCAACACTGGAGCAGGTTCAGGTACATTCAGGAGCCGGTGCATACCCAGCACTTGCCAACAGTGCGTGACAGAGACGTGAACGATCGCCCAAGCGGCTAATGAGCCGATCAGTGGTGAAGAGGATAAAAGAAAACGAGAGAGAATTCCCCTTTGTAAAAGGATTCCATCTCTAAATTTCCCTACATCGATGTGCCATACTGTAATATACTTAGTGTTTCTTTTGCATGACTATGACAGAGGAAGGGGAATAGAAACAAAAAAAGCATTTTCAAATCAAGGCCCACCAATGTAGTTTATTGCTCTGGAGGCTCTAACTACAACAACAACAACAACGGGGAAACTTCTGTTGGCAGAAGATAACAAACAAACGTCACCAGTGGGCTGGAGAGCATAAAGTCGATAACCTCTTTCACGTTCGTCACCCTGTGGTGTAATGGTCGGCATCCTCGCCTCGCAACAGAATGGACCCGGGTTCGATCCCAGGGCAGGGTGAAACTATGGGCAGGTTTCTTTACACCATTTGCCTCTGTCTACCCAGCAGTAATTTTAAACCTGGACGTTAATCGATTTGCGGAACGTATTCCGGGGTAATGGTTAGCCAGTGCAGTTGGCGAGTTGTCCGGTCTTCTCGGACTATTCCTTGATACAGCTCGTTAACTCAGGGTGTGGTTGTTGTGTTGGCGACAGCTTCAGGGTGTGGTTGTTATTTTGGCGACAGCTTCAGGGTGTGGTTGTTGTGTTGGTCAGCGTCATAAAAACGTACGCCTCATGTCATAAGGTATCCAAATGATACTTTATCATCCATTTTGGCAACACTGATCCCAACCAACTGCCTCTCTCCCCATTGGCATATATAAACACAGTTCCTTTATTTATTATATCTTTGTCCTTCCAACCAGCTGATATAGGAGCACCCGACCACTGGATACTCTTTGACCGCATCCTACAGCAGTTGGTGACGCAGAGTGAAGATGGACAGGACCGCGAAGTAGCTCTCCTGGATATAAATGTTAACAGCATTGTAAAACTGTGAGTATCTTTCCTTTTTTTTTTAAAGTATTTTTGTAGATTATTATTTATTTTCTATGTTTCAAGAATTTAAGTTTTATAATTTCTTAGGGATAATTTATGAGTCGGTGGTTATGAGTTAATGGATATGAGATGTGTGAGTGTTTTGTTTATAGTGTGAGTTCTTTAGTATGAGAAAGTTGTCCATTAGTTGTGAGAATGTGCAGCAAAACCTTGTGTAAGAAGATACTGTAATTAGCATTTGGGAATTCTGGGAAAAGGTTACGATAATATTAGTATTTATGAAATTTTTTATTTATTTTTGGCAAAGTTCATAAATAATAGTTGCGTGAGTGACATTTCGTTAGTGTATTGTGAATATATATCATAATTCTCTCATTGAACTTATTTTTAATGAAAGCTGTTTTGTTGCAAGTGATTAATGGTTTATTATAGTAGTTTTAGTTTTGATAAATGACAGGAGGAGAGATCGGACAGATGTCGTTAAAAATTTCCTCTTTGTAAATGTACTTGAAAATTAAGCTTGAGTCATTGATGTAATATTTATTGAACATCAAAAAACACGTTGTACAGTATCTATTAATTGAACTGATGTCTATTATCATCAACATTAATCCAGATAATTTAATGGATTGATTTTTTTCAGTATTGCCAACGAAAGAGAATTAACAGAAAGTAGAAAGAAAATCACAAAATTAGAGGAAGATTTTGCAGATGTAGTGACGGATCTAAACAGGAAGGAACAGGAGCTATACACCGCGTGCCAAGAGAAGGTGAGGAAGGAGTGTAGTTGGTTGAAATATATATTGTTTAAAGCCTTAGGGAGACCATGTGTGTATATATCCACACCAAGAAATGAAAGTAACTTGGTAAATGTGTCTTATAGATTATAGAAAAAGGAAATAATAAAGAATTTTAATTTCATACAAGTAAGTCATGGTTACCCCCACTTTCTGGCTCTCCAGTGACTTGCTGAACCCTGTTACTGAATTGTGTTATGTTAGCAGGAGTGAACCACAAGTCTAGCAGTAAAGTTCAGCTCTCCTTGGTTCATACCTTCAAGAATCACACTTCTTAGTTCAATGATGGTGTATGACAGTCTATTAAAACAATATGTCTTGTGGCCAATTTATACCAACCATTTACCATAACTTGTAGATATTATCTTAACAAGTGTGGCTCAAAGGTAAAGAAAAGTGCTTTTAGTCTTGTGTGTCAGAACAAGGTGAATATTGGAACACACACCGTTTCTGTGTGGATGTCGGTCACGCTATAATAACCCATTATAGTACATCCTTCTTTCCTCACACAGCCAAACTGTGGAATGCTCTGCCTTCTTCTGTGTTTCCATACTCATACAATCTGTCTCACTTTAAAAAGTTGGTTTTCCGGCCTCTTCGTGGTGTAGATTAATATAGTCTTTTTCTTTTCTATTTTTAATTTCTTTTTACTCTTTATTTTTTCGCCCCCTAGGCCCTGTTGTGGGTCGATGACCTGTGCACGGGTGGGCTATTCCCCGTAAAAAAAAAGGTAGGACCACCAACACAGGTTGATGATCTGACTTTCTGCCTCGTTTACACACAATTGCAGGGTTTCAATTGTTTCTCTTACTATTGACAACACAACATACATAAATCATTTCTCACTATTTATCTTCTTTATTTAATTTTGGTATTTATTTTTGGTCCTTTATTATTATTATTATTATTATTATTATTATTATTATTATTATTATTATTATTATTATTATTATTATTATTATTATTATTATAATTATTATTATTAATTATATCCCCCCCCCTCCCCCAGGCCCAGATGTGGGTCATTGACCTGTGTCATGGTGGGCTAATCCTGTAAAAAAAGAAAAACAAGAAAAACAAGAATCCAACTTATATTTTACCTTTATGTTATAAGACTTCAAACTGCCTTCAGAATCTAGTATGTCATGAAGCACTGTTTCTTTTCTATCCAGGAGGAGTTGTCACAGACACTGGTTCAGGTTCGTGAACAGTTGGAAGCAGAGGTTCGGTCTGGTACTGAAGCCCAACAGAAGAACGCAGACCTCGACACCCGGATCCAGGCCCTGACACGACAGATCCAACAGTTAGCTGCTGGCTCCATATCAGATGATGTTAAGGCCACCATCGCCACAGCCAAGGTGAGGAGTCACAAACTGTACTGCATTAAGACACTACAATATAGATGGTTAATGAATCTGTTCATTAATAGTTTATGTTTTAAAGTGTTTATTGTGTAACATGAAGTTAGTAATGACTTTCATTTCTGTTAATCTTTATGAAAGTGAGACAAGTTTGAATGGATTGATTCACAAGTGGGGTTGTATGTGTTTCACAAACATTTCTCTGGTCATTTTTGATACTTGTGATAAGCAAAAAGAATTCTGTACAGTACTGGTACAGGTACCCAGTTGTTGTGGTATAGGGGCTGCTGTAATTTACACTAACTGTACTTTGATCTTACTGTCCTTTTGTGATATACAGTACAGTAGGAAATCAGTAATATTTATTTCTTTGTAATACTTTGCTGCACTTAGTGTATAAGCTACAGGTATTCATAATCTGTTAATTTATAAAAGATGCCAGCAGCAAGTTTTAGTGAGACACAAAATTGTTTGAGGTACAGTATAGTGTATGTATTGTACTGTAATTATTGTTATTAACTTAGTTATCTTATCCATGTTCATAGTCGATACAAGACGCGTCCGACCATCCCAAAGGTGCTCCTTGCCCTCCACCACCACCTCCCCCCATGATGAATGGGGGACCTCCACCTCCTCCTCCAATGATGAATGGTGCTCCACCACCTCCACCTCCTATGATGAAGGGAGCTCCTCCACCTCCTCCAATGATGAATGGAGGTGGACCACCTCCACCACCACAGAGCAACAAACTAAACAAACCCACCAAACAGGTGAGTTGTGACCTCCCAGCAGGGCCGTCATCTACAGTACTGTACTGTAGTTATATATGTTTATACAGTACTCTGCACCTTCAAGAAGTTGAATAATTGACTGATCATTGATTGTTTGATCCACAGATACCCAAATCAGCAACTCAGTTGCGAGCATTTAATTGGTCAAAGATGCCTGACTCAAGAGTAACTGGTACGATCTTTGCCACATTGGACGAGTCTTCACTCTACAAGTTCATGGACCTGGAAGATATTGATAGAACCTTTGATGCCTCAGCGGGCAAAAAGACAAATGGAGAGGTGAAATATAATTGTTTTTAAGCACAATATAGTATAGGGCAGAATCGTTCAGGTCTTATCACTATGTAAAGTGTGAGTCATTGTGCAATTCTGATGTTTTATTAATGCAAAGTTTTGTAAGTTGATAAGTGAGGTGAGATACATAATGTATAAAAGTTTGCATTAATTAACCGAATGAATAACAGACACACAAGAACTGTACCTGACTTCCCATTTCATCTGATATAGTAAGGCCCAAGTGATAAGAATGGTTGTGTGGATGAAGTTTAATATTTATACAGTCTCTCTCTCTTTCTCTCATATAGCTGTATCAACATAATCAGTTTATAAAGTGAGAGATAATGTAAGCAGGATGGTTGGCAATTCAAGTCTTCCATATACATGTTAGGTGTGACTCGGGTGTGTCAGGTGTAACTCGGGTGTGTCAGGTGTAACTCGGGTGCCATAAAGACACCGCTATGGGCTTCTTTATGGCCCCTGCAATTTATTCAGGTAATTGATACACAGGAATGGGTGTATCGGTAGTTTACTTCTCATTTACCCCTGAACCAGTTATTGCAGCTTCAATGACAGGTGTGTGATTGGTACCATTCCTCTTCACCATTGCTTAGGAGAACAAGTGATTTAAATGTGGACATTGGAGCAAATTGAGGACTATAGATGACATAACTGGTGACAAATTGAGAACTATAGACGGCATAACTCATGACAAATTGAGGACTATAGATGACATAACTGGTGACAAATTGAGAACTATAGACGGCATAACTCGTGACAAATTGAGGACTATAGATGACATAACTCGTGACAAATTGAGAACTATAGATGACATAACTCGTGACAAATTGAGGACTATAGATGACATAACTGGTGACAAATTGAGAACTATAGACGGCATAACTGGTGACACTGAGGATTATAGATGATATAACTGGTGACACTGAGGACTATAGATGACATAACTGGTGACACTGAGGATTATAGATGATATAACTGGTGACACTGAAGACTATAGATGACATAACTGGTGACACTGAGGACGATAGATGACATAACTGGTGACACTGAGGACTATAGATGACATAACTGGTGACACTGAGGACTATAGACGACATAACTGGTGACATCATAGTTACAGTAGCATAGACTTGATCAACGTTTTACCTTTGTTACTCTAGATTACCCGAGTGTGTAAATGCTTGGTGGCACTCGAGGGAGGAGGCTAATGGCTTTATGGCATGTTATACAGTGTTCTTTGATCGCACATAACACCTTAATGTGCCCAATTCTTGTCTAGTCATTTCTCCGAGGTCAAGTTAGGTATTTACTGATCTGCCAATGAAGTTTAATGAGTCGTAAACTTTCTTTACTTTTTTTTCCTAATTGGATAAAGTTCAGAGTTTAATAATGTTGTTTAGATAGAGGTTTATAGGGAGTACTTAAAGAGATATATGTATTTAATTGGAAAGAAATGAATCTCAATTTGTGTATTAAATTTCAGGGAGAGAAGACACTGGAGAGAATAAAGTCACAGAGAATGCAGCAGATCAGTGTGTTGGAGAACCGCCGTCAGCAGAACTGTACCATTCTTTTGTCTAAGTTGAAAATGACCAACGATGAGCTTATAAGGTGAGAGGTTTTCTGTGTGTGTTGTGTTGTGTTCATTGTATTTTATGTTTTGAGAAATACAGTACAGTAAGTCCTCACTTAACTTCGTGGTTCCGTTACTGAAAACCGCGATGTTAACGGAAAAGACATTAATGGAATCAATTTTCCGCTTAAGAAATAGATAAAATACATTAGTTATGTTTCCCAGCCTCCCTTTGCCCCATAAAATATATTACATATACATAAATTCATTGGAATTTTTATAGAAAATAGTACATACAGTATTATACATCGAAAAAGATTAATAAACTTTATCACTTTTTATTGTACTCAATGATGGGCAGTTTAAAACCTCCATTTTTGTAGTCAGGCTAATGGTCTTGGGTTACTTCTTCACAACACTAGCATCACAAGGACTTGATTGGCACAATACAGTATTTAGAGCAAAAACACTTAAACACATGTACGCTGTGGAAGCCTAACAAAGACTGGGGACGCTGTGAAGCTCCGTGAGAGAGCATGGCGTGCCAAGATGAGAGAGGGTGATGCGCCGTACAAAGTAGTCCGTGATGACTTTATACCGAATCGGCGGGACGTTGTGCGAATCATGGGTAACTAAAGAGTGGCGACGTTATAACGAGGACTTACTGTACAATATATAGCGAGTCATAAAATAGTTGGGAAGACAGAATTAAATCACTATATTGTTAGTTCACAGTACAGTATATTGTTCTACTTGTCTATTAATTACCATGACTTCATATCCTAGTAAATAGACTCGATGAATAAACAGAATCATGTGAGAAACTTAAATAAATCTTTTGAAGTTTTATATTATCAATCTTAATTTATTTTCATCAAGCAGTTTCAGATTTCACTATTTTACAAAGTGGGCAATGTATCTTAATGTTCTTCTTTGATGTGTTGTTCAGAGTGCTCTTCAAGATGGACAGTGATGGTGAGTTAGCGCCTGACATGATGGAACAGCTGCTGAAGTTCACGCCCACTGTTGAGGAGAAGACCATGTTGGAGGAGCACCAGGACGAGATAGAGAACCTGGCACGAGCTGACCGCTTCCTCTACGAGATCTCCAAGTAAGAGAATCACATCACTCGAGTGTGTTTGATGTGATTTAGGTTACTCGAGTGTTTGATGTGATTTAGGTTACTCGAGTGTTTGATGTGATTTAGGTTACTCGAGTGTTTGATGTGATTTAGGTTACTCGAGTGTTTGATATGATTTAGGTTACTCGAGTGTTTGATGTGATTTAGATTACTCGAGTGTTTGATGTGATTTAGGTTACTCGAGTGTTTGATGTGATTTAGGTTACTCGAGTGTTTGATGTGATTTAGGTTACTCGAGTGTTTAAGAAGATTTTTGTGACTTTTGTTTTAAGATATTATATTTTCAACCATTTTCTTACTTAATATTATATTCAAAGAGTATTTTCAGCTGCTATTCCTCAGTATTGTACATTATTTTGCTTTTCCATTTTGATCACTGCTCACAGCTTCAGTCTGGCCATGTTATGATTTGTTTATTCTTTCTGTTTCAAGAATCGACCACTATGAGGAGCGTCTGCGATGTCTTCACTACCAGAAGAAGTTTAAGGAGCGACTAGCCGAGTGTGAACCGAAAATGTCCTCAGTTATATGCGCGACTAAAGAACTTAAAAACAGCAAAAGATTGAAAAAGTTCATTGAGGTTGTTTTAGCCTTTGGAAATTATATGAACAGAGGTAAGATAATGTTTGTATTTTTTTGTACGACATTCTTCGGTGTCCTATACAAAAATCTTTCTCTCTCGATCTCTTTATGGTTGGATGGCCAGTGGTAAATGTCTCGCACACACACATGTATGTATGATTTCCCCTTGATGAATTCCTTCAAGTGATGTCCTCCCAAACTTCCACCTTACCAATTACTTGTTACTCATTATTTAGCCCAAGATATCTGGCTTAAGATTCACTACTTTTTAATCAATATATCCCATCATTAAAATTAACCTCTGGCAGGTGCTCGTGGCGGTGCTTATGGCTTCCGCGTGTCTTCCCTCAACAAGCTGACAGACACCAAGGCCTCCAGCAACAGGTCCATCACACTCCTCCACTACATCATCAGAGTGTGTGAGAAGCAGTGGCGAGACATCCTCAGACTAGACGAGGACTTCCCTAACATCAAGGAGGCATCCAAAGTGAAGTTAGTGGCTCTTGATATTATAGTTTGACAGTGGAACATTATTCACAAGGATTATCACATAATAATCTTACATACTATATTACTTGAGTTAGTCTGTTTAAAAGGTTCTTGGATTAAAAGTAACTGTTTCTGTTTTATGCAGCATCACTGAGTTAGAGAAGGAGATCAGTGGTCTACGGCAGGGGCTGGACTTTATCGAGAGGGAGGTGACGTGGCACAGAGGCCAGGGGTCGTCTCCCCCGGGTGATCGCTTCCGCCTCGCCATGAATGAGTTCACAGCGTTAGCCAAAGACAAGTTTACAAATATGGAGTCACAGTTTAAAATGATGAAAACACAGGTAAGTTTTCTCTTCTGCACTATGTACTGTTGGTGTGTGTAGTTGTGTACTGAACAGTGTTGTACTGTACTGTACACTAAGTCAGCACCTGTCTGCTCTCTGATTAATGTGTTTCTTTTAGTATTCAAAAGGTAATTTAAAAAGCATATATAGGATTTTTTTAACTGGTCATTCTAAATGATATATAAGTGGTTGAATGTTGCACAAAATTATACCATGTAATTTTAACTCACACAATGGAAATAGACGCACAGTACAGTATAACATAATTATGGTACTCGTATTTCTTCTGCTTGAGTACCTGGGTATCTGATTGTCTGTCTAGAGCTAACAGGGTGCCTGGTTAAGTACTGGTTAAGTTATGTATAGAGGTAGATTGAGATGGTTCCTGCATATAGAGTGAACAGAGGAGATCAACTTAGGTCAAGAGATGTAAGACTAATGTGTGGAAGGATGAGGAGGTTGAAAGAAATGACATGTGAGATAAGAGGCTGCAAGAGACCACTCAACAAGGTGAGGTGCAGTCAGGTAATCACAGTTAACCCATGCAAGTGTAGAATGGTCACAAAACAGTGATGATGGAGTAAACTCTTGTATATATACTCATTTATCTGTATGCACAATTTTCCTACAACAACATAACTTATAAAGGGGTGAGAGTTACTTGTTTCACATTTGTTATTATGCACTGCATGAGCTCCTCACCGTTGCAGTTTGATAACGTCACAACAATGTTCGGAGAGGACTTCAAGACGACACAACCGGAGGATTTCTTCGGCACCTTCGATTCCTTCGTTGACAATTTCCGAGAAGCGAAGAAGGATTTAGAGAACATGAAGAAGAAGGAAGAGGAGGAAGAAAGAAAGAAGAAGGAGGCTGAGGTAAGACTATACAAGATTACTGAAGTGTTTTAGATTATGTTAGGTTAGGTTAGTCTTAGTATGGTTAGGTACCGAATAATTGCCGGTATTAAGTAACACCGAACGACTTCCATATTACAGTGCAGTGCCAGGTATTATTACAGTTAGGTGTGCCGTGAATGCTGTTCATTATCTTGATACATTCCAGCATAGTTTTAACACAGCATCACTCCCAATCACTATAATGTCATATCAGGAAAGGTCGTGTCATGGGAAGGTCACCTAACTTAACAGTGATGTAGTTTATTGTGTGTCTGACAGGAGGTGTTGCTGGGGGTAGTACTATATCTCTTGTGTGTTTGTAACTTTGGATATTAAGTAGAATTTGTTGAGCCACCTAAGGATATTCAGAATCTTTTTGGTAATTATATAACATAGGATATTAGGTTATTCTTTCATGCTTTATTTTGATGAGTAAGATTTTTTAGTTATGTTTTTTTTTACAGCCATTAGAAGGAAGTAAAACTGTGGACATTATTCTTTCTCTTTTTGGGGGTTTGGATTCTTTTTTTTTTTTCTATTTTTCTAACCATTTCTTTACTGAACTTCTGCCGTACTTTAATATCCATACAGTCAGCCTTCTTCATATCTGTACCCAGTCTATATTTTGTTTCCACTCTTCAATATTTTTGTTAAGCTAAAATCAAATCTAAACTAAAAAATAAAAAATAACTATAAAAATACTATATATGAGACACATGTTGTGTTATAACTAATGACAAAAAAACCTTATCAGAGTATTTAGGTTTATACAGTGAGGTGTTCCTTAAATTAACCCATGAAGTGCAGCAGTTTTGCTGCCTAAGTATGACAGGCGCTCTGTGCATATTCCCAGTTATCCATAATAAATTTTTTGTCTAACTTATTCCACAAGTATTTAATTTTATATTAATAATACACTAAAGCTTTTTGAATAGCTATGTAATAAGAAAATCAATATGAAATAAGGAGTCTGTAAATTTTTTTGGCAAAAGCCACTTTCTACTTTGGAGCCACTTAGCTCCATGAACTTATATAATACAGTAATCTGCTTTTTATGCTAAACAATAGCATAATTTGGGTGAGAAAGAACTCATAAAAAAATGAAATATTTTGATAATAAATTATTTAACAGTGATGAGCACATGTCAGACTGCATGCATAGCGTAATACTTATGCCTCCTCACGTCCACCCATGCATGCATGATTCAAATTGTATCCCTAAAAATATAACTAAATCTGGCATCTCTTAGTCGTGTCAGCTCATTTATTGGTTCAGACAATAACAATAAAATTCACGCCTTCGAGTGTGACGTCTGTAGACGGTCCATTTGAAATAAAAAGTTGCCAATATCGACGCTCGACTTTCAGCAGCACGAGAAGCGTCTCTTATAGGGATGCACCGCACTTCATGGGTTAAGCTGTTGAATTAAAGCAGTGTGTAGTCAGTCTGGTTAAGAGAGGATTATGGTTACTGGTAAGAGTAGCCTTAACCAGACTAACTTCTCACTTAAGCTTGGTTGTTTCTGGTTACTGATGAGTTGCCTTAACCACTTCTCACTAAGCTGGGTAGTCTTGGCTCTACCTCCTCCCTTAAATTTACCCAGAGACATGAACAGAGAAGCTGAGATGAAAGCAAGAGCTCTTAATATTGGAAAGTAAGGGTCGATTCCACCTCACGTAAGAGTGGGAGGGTTTTGGAGATACTGTACTAGATAAGAGAAGCATTAGATAATTTAGATGGTGATAAATTAATTTGTGTGATTTATTTATTTTGTAATCAAGGAAAGTGATGTTCAATTGTAACCCAGCTTCCCTTAACACTTGGTAATATCTGGCATCTACTTTCAATAGACCTTAAGAAATATCCTATAATTAAAATCACAGTCTCTTCCTTATCTATACAGTAAGACCCCCCACAGGATGCTGGGTGTTGAGGGGCAGTTCTGTCCTCGACTATACAAACAGAAGGAATATACAGTACCTAAGTAGAGTAATATTAGGAGAGGTTGGTGGTGCCCTGCTCTTCTCATGCTCTTGATCACTGGGAAGGAATTAGATTAAAAATGGTGTTCGTTTAGGGGAAAGATGGTGACCACAATGTAGTCTCGGCAAGATGTGTTCTCAAATTTGTGGGTTGAGTATTTCTGAGATGGTGGTGTCTGATGGGGGGGGGGGTGACAAACAGATGACTACACAAGATGGGTATTTGATAATTGAGCTGTTGAGATATTCGTAGGAGTAAATGCAGTAAATATTATCCACATTGAAGATGGATAGTTTAATATAAAGGAAGTGGTATTATAGAGACTCATCTGTAAATCATCTTCGAAGGCATAGTTATAGGAGCCTTCATGCTGTGTGAGGGGACATAGTTCACTTTGTTTTGAGGTTCTGGGTCTTCAAATATTGCATTACCAAGGCTAGTGTTGTAGAGTGTAGGGAGTAAACTTTTGAGAATTAAGTCTAAAGTGATAAAGAACTGAGTCATTAAGATGATGATAGTGTCGGGTACAATAATGGATATCTTGTTGTGTCCGAATATTTGGAGTTACGTGTCAGCCCACACATTATATTTGTATAAGTAAACCATTTGTCATTACATTGACTTCATGTTGATCAATCTTAAACAATGACAATTAAGTAAATGTTATTTACTAATAATCTATCCCATAATCTTTCACTAATAACAGGTATTCCATGAGAAAACTTAGGAGACAAAGATTAAATGCTGACTAGGAGTCTCTGCCTGATGTAAGGCCAGCTCTCTATACATTATTGATTGTGCTGTATATATATTAATGTATACACTCTACTATACATGTTAAGTCTCCTGCAGGATGCTTGAGACTCACTCACTTCAGTTGTCTTCCTGCCTCTCCTCACACAGAGTTGTGGCCATATCATTTATTTATAAATATATATGATGTCATCAAATATAAATAAGAGGTTAGTTTTACTATGGGGAAGCTTCTGTCACTTATTAGCAGGTTTCATCAGTGTTGTAATGGGAAATTATTTCATTGATATTCATCATTATAATATAAATTAAGGCTTTAGTTGTAAGGCACTGGTCAAGAGCAGCTCCACATCTGGGGTAAAGTGTTCATATTAGTCATCAGGTGCAACTTTTATGTGAAGACGAACTTTTTGTAGCAAGACAAAGTGGAATGGTTAAGATGAGCCTTTAAGGTTGGGTTTCAGGACTTGTTTCCACCTGAACCAATTGTGTTTATAGTATTATGAGTCAGCCACTCTCTGGTCTCAAACAGTGTACCTAAACATCTGTGTAACAAAAACACATTTTACTTTAAGAATTCCTTTCTTTTTATACGATATAAAGTAAGATATGTTCTTCATAGCTGTAAAGGCATAATTTTAGGTACTATAGTATATTGTTAGTATAGTATATTTATTATAGTGGAGGTGATTTCAGTATTACACCGTGTATATGATGAGCATTAAAGAAAATATTTATAGATAAATGCTAGTTGGCCCAGCTCTGAGGCCCATCTGAACCTCAACAATATCTGTACATTGATCTATCAGCTGCATGAGAAAGAGATTGGTGTTATGATGAGAGGTGGTTGTCTCTCCAGGTATACTAGAGGGAGACAATATTAAGTGTAACATTTCTCTTATTCTTTTCTTGTAATAATTTAACAACTATGTCTTCAAGATATGAAAATGGACAACATATTATTGACATCACAGTAGGATTTGGAATCTCTTGATGTACACATGCATAGTCATCGAGCCTGAGGTGAAATAATGCTTGTACGACACATTTCCTTAAGACGTACCCAGTGCTTGAGGGAAACATATACAGTACTATGGTAGGAATATAATCACACATCATTAATGCCCTTTTTAGTACACAAGCTTCTTAACATCACTGCTGCTCAATACTTCATATAGAAATTCCTTCATTATTAACTTGCTTAGGAGGCTGCTTCTATCTTGGAAAATTGGCTTCTTTTGTGTTCTGTTTACTTTTCATTTTTCCAATGCCTTCAGGAGTAATTGTTTGCAGTTTTTGTCCTTATCACGTTTTGCACAGTTTCCTCCATGGCTCCTTTTAATTTATTTGTGTACTGTATTGCATTTTAATTTTCACGTTTAATAACAAGTAATTGTATTTTTTGCCTTGAGTACTGTACTGAGTCAGCTCTATATATATTTGCATTAGTATACTGTACTGTACTCTGTGTGTGTTGTGTTAAAACAGTGAAGTTTGTGTTTAGCTTCTTTATTATTGTTCAGTACCATTTTTGTGTAGTATTTTAGTTAATTTGTTGCATCAGTATGAGCTTTGTGTTAACCCCTAGTGTTCATCCCCTTACGTTTAGTATTCTAGCGTCATGTTTGTCTTGCAGCGATATAAGCGACGGTCCCTGCCTAGCAGCTGGCACGAGAGAGCTGTGTTTGCCCTCTGGCACTGACCTTGGCTCTGACCTTGTACGACAGGTGACCCAGCACTACCCCCGACACCTGTACAACTAACATCACCTAAAGCACGAATTCCGATGCCTTCGTGAACGGTTGTATCAGGACCCAAAGATGTTGTTGATGTAGATGGCTATGTTACCCCATTCAAGCTACTCATTACAGTTTGATTATAAGAATTTAATGACTTGAAGCTATTAATTATTAGTCTTTTTATATAGTGTGGGATTCTTTTTTATTATACACACATTACTAAACCCAAGTAATGACTACAGTAATATTTAAAAATTCCTTCCTGACAAAGATACTGTTCACCCACAAATAGTTTGGATGGGTACTTAGCCATCTTTTGCATTTATCCATGATTTTCTCTGGGCTCCTGGTACTAACCTTCATGCCAAGGCTGCAGAATTTGAAATAAACCCCGGGATAGTTATGGTTGACACGGTGTATTGGGTACTAACTCGAGGCCTCCCTGGTGCCAATTTAAATGCTGCTGCTGCTGCTGGGTATGCCTGGCTCTCAGTCCCAACTTTCGCTTGTGATTGTTTTGCCATGTAAATTATCACATCTTCGAGGCTGTCATTGCCAGTACATTGTTTGTTTTTTTCTTTTGCTCGAAGCTGTAGTAAATGCTTAATAATGTAAATACTAAAAGCAGCATCTGATATTTCTCAATGAAATATATTTAAAACATTCCTCTTAATAAAAACATTGAAATATGTACTTTGGTGACATAAACTGAATATTCTGAAATGAGCATAATGATCAAATTTGAAATGAAATAAAGTTTGCATTTAAAAAGAAATAATCATATATCATTCTAGTTTATCATAATTTTTGGTGCTTTTCAGATTATTCTAATGTTTTGAAAACCAAAGCGCAGTACCTTATAAACCCGAAAAGTAAACAACTGTACCTGGACTTAAATAACACTGATCCTCTTGACAAATTAACAACATCATCAACTTTCAAGACACACAAATATGGTTATCAGATTTTCATACAAGACGTAATATTTAACCACTTGTGTATGGGGTCCCCTCAGATCTGAATAAAATCGTCTGGTATTAACGAAATCTAATATTAAAAGTGCCGTCCCTGTAGTGAAGGGGATAAATATTTGATATTCGTAAAGATTTCCCTTATGTAAATTAATAGTATTTCTACCCCATACATTGGATATAATTCTCAAAGTTACATAAAGATCTGATAGCCAAGTTAAACACACACAAAAAGCCCACATTGTATTAAAGTGACATTAACCATTACATACTCAAACAAGACTATTGACAAAGTACTGTAGTAATATAGTACTCTAAAGAAAATTAAATTAGCATTATAAATTGACTAAAATATTGTTGCTGTTGTAGATCTTTTTATTTTCTTTCTTTTCCTCTAAATCCGGGACAGTGACTTAAAATGAATTCCTTTTGTGCAGTTCTTTTGGCTCTTATTTCTGAATCTGGGACAACAATAACACTTGCTTTAGTGGGTCTCTCTATCTCTTCTCTCCTCAGCCCATGGTATCTGGGACACTTCATTTGTTCCTCTGGATAATAACAGCACCAGCACAGCATGATGACTTATGTGTCCAGGCTCAGCAGGAATAATTTCTCAGTGTATTTTTATTAGAATTGTTACTTTCTTATCTTGAGAGTAAGTTGTAGCTAACATCATCTGTCCTCACTGGAGAAGTTCCCTGGCCTTGTTTACATGGGTAGCTTTGCAGACACTGAATTTCAGATATGGTGATGGTATACCAACTCTTCTTGGCTGTAATCTACATCAAGTGTATATTAATTAAAAATTATTTATGGTCTGAATGTCCGTATGTCATGTGTCACAAAAAAATTATTCTTAAAAGTACGGTATAAATTTTAAGAGCATTTCATGAACAGACTTTTGATAATGCCAAAGGTACTACAGTAACCCATATAAGCCCTGTCGCCTCTCCTGCTGTTCTAAACCCCAAGAATCAAACTCGTGAACCCGAAGCAGTAGACACTGAATCCTTATTCTATTCATAAATGCTACAGATTCAGGAGTCTGAATCTCAGGGTTCGGAAGGAGAGGGGACAGGAGTTTTGTCGGTGACTGTACATTATAACTTGGTCTTGATCATGGTATACACTCACTCCATTATTTTTGGTGTGTAAGTATTGATCCTACATCTTTGTAGCTAGAAATTATGTCTGGATAGATAAAATTAATGTGGGCTGTAACTGGTTGAAAGGTGCACTGTAATAGGCATTTAATTGGGTGTGGAGTGAAATTGATCAGCAGACAAGGAAATAGGATCCAATTGGTTAATAGGCAAGTGAATAGGTTTATGTTGATTGATAAGAAAATTGAGTCTGATTGGTCTAGAGCAGGCATGGGCAACCCGGACCATGTGTTTGTGCGGCCCGTTGAGTGATTGATAAATTCAGTTTAATGTGGTCCATGGTTCAGTTTATGGTGAGTAAAGCAATATTTATTAAAAGAATAATCTTCACACACAATTTGTTAGTGTTTCATCACCTAAGAGTAAGTAACTATGAAAATCTAACCATGAAATAAAAATATATAGTCAACAATATAAACTTTTTAATTTGTGTGAGTTTATGGGTCAAGTTTGGCGCAGTCTGTTTGATGGGTTATATAGCTGCTTTGTGGCAGAGTGGGGTCATGGGCAGTGGTCACGGGCAGTGGTCACGGGCAGTGGTCACGGGCAGTGGTCACACAGGGTTTAACTAATTAAGTATGTCCAGAATACTGTATTCATAAACTGCTTCACTCATCTTCTGTTAAATTCCAAGAAACATTAATGTATTACTTAAAAAATTATTATGATGGATTTGTTTCATAAATAGGAAAGACTGTGATTGTAAACTGAAAATATTGTTCCGTAGAGGTGACGATCAACTGCTTCACTGTCCGAGCTAATACATTATTAACTTTACTTTTGGGTTAGGTGGGATATAAATTTTGGTGGGTTGGCCCGCAGAAAAATACTTCAATTGTAATGCGGCCCATGACTGACAAAAAGGTTGCCCATGCTTGATTTAGAGAATTAAGTAGCATGTGGTTGGTCGACAGATTAGTAAATAGGATATGATTGGCTGAGAGAGAAATACGATGTGACTGGTACATAGACAAGTAAATACATTGTAACTGGTGAATGAGGAAACAATATGATTGGTTGATCAATAAATATAAAACATAATCGATGGATAGCCAATAGGAGAGTATCTGTTAATGGATGATATCATTGAGTTATCATTGGCTGACGGATATAGTAAATAGGATTATGATTGGTCAATAGATAAACATTTATGACTAAGATGAGTAATAAGGGACTGAATGTTGTGTCACTCCAGTACTAATGGGAAAAAGGCAAAGATAATATTGACAGACAAAAGAGAAACACTGTAATTTATCATGGTACTTTATTCCTATTGCTCCAGTATTTATGTTAGCAAGCCAGACAATTGTGAATTAATATTTTCCATTACTTGAGATGGGAGGGGACAATGAGCATATTTTTCTTGAGTATAATTCATAATTATTGTTGTCATGACACCTTAAGTCCTGGGGAAAAGTAGTTAAATATGTCAAGAAATTTATAGTATAAATTATATTAATGTATTCCAGTTATTAAAACAAACTATCTAAAGATATAAAATATTACAGTAGTACATTTCATTACTGGACTAATTCTTGCATGGGATGACCTGAACCAATGGGAATTCTGATGATATGAAGCTTTTATCATGTCTGTATACTCCACCCACTCAGTACACTGTTACCTCACATGCTAGAGCTGTAAGAGGCAGGTAAATGATGTGACAAGATTGATTTACTGCATATGTACAGTATCTTTTAGTCTACTATACACCCTTGAGTATTATTAGTGGTGTAAATGTGTTCACTGGTATATAACGTTACTAAATGGTTTACACACGACTATACAAGTAAACCAGTGGGCGATATATTTGAGGGGCCAAAATATTAACATCACTGGACTGTAACTTCCTTCCAAAATCAGTCTTCCACCCTTGATTTAAAGTCAGTTGCACTTAGAGATCTTTCTTCAAGCTCCTCATCAACGGCACTCAGAAGTGTATCATGCTTCAAAATTTGATGTGTTTAACTCAAAGATGCACAGCTGTTATACTGAACCTCCTTACAAATATCACATACAGTTTACTATACACTACATACACAACACATCACTGGTCAAACTAATATATGAGCACAGTTGACATATACAAAGTGATTGTGTGTAATTTTATACATGTACCTTATACCAGCAGGGTCATTACAAATATAAAAGATTAAGTTATATACACAACCAAGTTACTACAGAGAACATGTAATACAAGACTGACGTCCCACAAACAAAGAATTTTTTACATTTAAAAATTTTAGTTTTGGTGGAATTCTGGATGGTGTGGCATGAGCTGACTCATGTTATCCCATCACCATGTTTAACAGTGGTGGACCCTGGTGCAGTGTGTGTCTTAGTTATGCCCTAAAATAGCAACACATCCAGTAACTGGCCCCTGCCCTTCCCCTCTCGCCCATTCAAGACTTGAAAAATCTTTGTCGCCCAGTATTTTAAAAGCTCTTTCACAAGGTAGCAAATTTTCTTGAAACATGACATACTTGCTGCCCAGTCATTGTGTTAGAAAGGTTGACTGAGGTGTGTACTATTAAGCTGAGCAATTTCAAATCTCTAAACACCACATAAGAGCTCATCAACCCCCCCCCCCCAGTACAACAGCCTTATCTTACATTATGTTCGCTCCTGCGTTGCTACCCCAGTGTTAGTTTAATCAGAACATAATTGCCTGAGAATCCCCAGTCCAGTCATCAGGTGTTCCAGAAGTGCAGGTTTTTGGTAATTAAACGTACATCTGTAAGGTTTTATGAAAATTATCCTTAAAAATGGAAATTAATTGTAAATATTTATCAAAACAAGGAGCTGACCACAAGATCATACATTACAGGGTTTCTTAGTGCTTTAAAATATATAACTAGAATTCTTAAAAAAAAAAAGTTTACTGTATAAAGTATCAATAGTACCTAAAAATTGTCTAGTGAATATTGAGGCATGATAACATTTTATTACTATAATAGTTTTACAGTCAAGAATCTGACAACTTTGACTTGACTATACTGTGTGTGTGTGTTTAGGAGGCAGACACATGTACAGGAATATCTGTTAATGTTTCAGTGTGTGTCATTTGTGTACATGCAGTTATGACTTTCCTCCTGTGAGTCTCTAATTTATAAGCATAAGTGAGCATTGGCACATACAGTGTATATACACATGGCTATTTGTACATGTCTGTATGTCCCTGGGTGAATAATGGCCTTCCTTCAAGTAAACATGTAGGTCATTTTGTTTAGCGCCTTTAATGCCAGTTATACTGTATTTGGTTTACATATTCACTAATTATCCCGCTCTGTCTGCAGCGTCGTGAGGTTGAGCGAGAGAAGCGGGCGAGGGAACGCAGCGCAAGAGTCAATAACAATGGTCAACCTGCTGCTGGAGACAGTAGCTCTGGCGGCGAGAATGAAAATGATTTTGACGACCTCATCTCGGCTCTTCGTTCTGGGGACGTCTTTGGCAAGGACATTGACAAAATGAGACGGAAAAAGAAACACTCTTTTAGTTCTGGATCGCGTGAAAGAGAGCGAGAGAGAATTATTGGGTCTCATAAATACGCCTAAGTGATTGTGAAGCATTTTATTTTTTGGAAATTTTTTTAATACTTTACTATGAGTAAAGTAATGTAAATATAGCCTTATTGACACACCTGTTTAGGCATGTAATTGCTTAATCACACCAAATCACTGCCGGCTAGTTTTACTGTTGCTGGAGTTTGTGAGAGCAATTTTATGGGAGGAGAGCTCAGACCAAAGTAAATTAACTCATTTCTGTAGCACTGTTGTTGTACTGTCTTTAACTTGGTATTCCAGAACCTCCCAGGTTAATTAGTAAACTTTCTTTACAATAATACTAACAACCTGACACACACAGCCCTGTAGAACTCTCATGCTTAGCTTATCTTGTTACATACATCAACAACTTTAATAGAGTTCCTATTAATTCAGTGCACAAGACAAAACGTGAGTAAGAGATGTGTCCTTGGGTGTATATGTTGGTAATACTGAATGGTCTGTAATGGTGTATTATTGGCTTGAGTATACACCTATGTTGCAGGGTAGGGTAAGGAATAACAGTTCACCATTTCCCTATGATAAATTAAACCCCTAAAAGTTGATTATTTTAAATGAATTGACTTGATAAATCAGGTGTGTGTTTGTATTCACAATTTGGTTTCCAGAAATATATTGATGATTTTGATAAATTCATTGACACGAGTTAAAATGACATTCCCAAGATCTGGAGGAACTACACAGGGAGTACAGTTTCTGCTGAATCACTGGGATATTGTATGATTAACTTTCAAGTATTTTCAGGTGATAAGGTCAAGAAATGTGAGCCATATTGGTGATTACTGTTAGTGTCTCATCCCACTGCCAACACAGCTTTCAGAGTGTAAACTTCAATAGTAAATGACTCAACACCTGACAACTAATATCAGGGTTCTGTTGATTTGTTGTCTGACAGACCAACGAATCAATGATTCATTTTCTTTTGACACTAAAAATTTTAATCTGATAAAAGATATTTATGAAGTTGACTTCTGTATATCTAAAAAAATTATGATGATGTAAAGTATAGACAACTGCATCGTGTTTTGCTCGGCATTTTATTGTAATCGACTGATTTTAGCAAAATCCTTAAATATTTATCATAAGTTTAGAAGATATCAAATTTTTGGTATGCTTAAATTTTTAAGAGTAATTCTAAACATATATTTTAATTCTGGAACAAAGTATTTGTGAATTTCTGTGATATTTTTATAATTTCTCATTTTGCTACGACAATTACCAAATAATGCATTTATACAGTTGTAGTGTTTCATTACAGACATGTAGGTGAGCTAGTGACAGGTGATGTGTGGGTGTTCCTTATGAGACAGCCAGGGTACTAAAAGAGTCTCACTCCATTGTGGCACTTCAGTCTGATACAGTACTGTGCCTATATCAGTCTAATACTTGGCCTCAGTCTGATATCTATATTATTCTGGTATGTGGATCTATCTGACATTTAGCCAAATCTGATACTGTACTTGCCTCAGTCTGGTATCTGATTTAGTCCAACATCTGAACCAGTCTGATACCTGGCTCAGTCTACTGTTTGATCAGGCTGAAACTTTGCTCTACTCTGCAGTGAGGCTCCATCACCCCCCACACTGACATCACACTGCGTACATTAGTAGACAAACCACCATGAAGAGGAGTTGTTTGATTGTTCTCTCATTGTTTTACAGCACAGCCCCTGATGTAGTATTGGATTACAGTTCTCAATGTCATATACTCAAAAAGAAAGTCTCCAAGTCTTCAGCTCTCATGATTCAGAAGACAGAAATCTTTATTATCCAAGGAGAAATGTTTCATCATAAAGTTTAGTTATGTTAGTTACTAATTACCAGTTTATCTAAAACTTTGTGTAAGCCAACTGTTTAATACTTGGTTTGGTTTAATACTGTATATTGAGAAGACTCAATATACAGTATTAAATTTGTCTCTATAAATTTAGTAAAGTACAGTACTGATGAACTGGAATTTGGAGTACTAAAGGGATGATGATCTTACCCATATGAATCCTTTGTAGACAGTACAGCACAGTACAGTACATAGGTCACTTAGACCAGATATAAATTAAAGACTTGTTATACATAGTAAAGCTTGAACAAAGTTCTTTTCTCATTCCATAACACATAAGATATTTATATTATTATCTGGTTGTTTTGGGAAACATAGATTTTTTCAAACAACTGGACTCATCATGGTACATTATAAGCATATAGACCACAGAGAGATATACATACTTATAGATGCTTATTAGAGTCTTGCTGTGTTGGCTGTTCTTCTGAGGAGGTGCCAACTTGCAAGTCAACAAAATAGTTATTATTGGAATAATCGTCACACAACTATAATGCATTCATGTGATAAAATAGTATTGTTAAACAATATATGATGAACTATATGCTGTAGATGAAGTGTCTATTCTGTTTTCAGTTGTACAAACTTCTTTTCAAGAACAGCTGATGCTGCAGAATGTTACTACACATGTAGGGTAAGATGCTTTAATTCACAGCTTCAGTTCTGTTGCCTTTGTGATATCACAGTCTGTCTAACCTCATCTTTTCTGACCTTGGAAAGCCAAAATATTATAAGTGATAATAAATGGTTCCATATTTCTTGGTGAATTACCATGTTAAATTTTTTAATCATATATAAACTGTGCAGTTTAAGTATACAGTATATAATTATACACTGTGCTTTTAATTATTGTATTTACATATATCAGTATTAGTAGTATGAAAGAATATATACATTATATAGTACCTGCTTATGTGTTCTTATGAACAAAATGTACAAGCTTCTAAAACTATAAACATAATATAAGCACAATAATTATATTTTATATAGGTCTGCCTGGCCATGAAACTTTCCCATCAAATCTCTGCCCCACTAACACAATGAAGTTACAAGTTTCATCTAATATATGTATTATTTGTACCAATAAATTTTAAATTAATAAGTTGCATGTAATAACTAAGACTTTTGCACATTTATCATTTTAAAAAACTAATTAATGCCATAATATAATAAAAAAAATACTAAGGAGTTAATACCTTATGTAAGAACAAGGCAGAATGGATGAGGTTTGACTCTGTATACCAAGATCTGTGTAGAAAGTACGAGTTCTTGAGTGTCGTCAGGACGCACCAATGCCTCAATTGTAGAGGACCAGTTAATCATAGTCCATAATAGTTACTGTAACATTCGTGATACGACATCATACCTAACTTTGACACGTGATACAACTGCCTGCATTATTCGTTGATTTTTTTTCTTCAAAACTCGGTCTTGGCTGATAAAAGGCATGTAAGATATCACGAGATGTGAATCCTATATGTACAAATTCTACTTGATTTAATACAAGATGGCTCTACATTTGGACTGACAACAACAGCCAAGTTCCTGGTTAAGGAAACTGGATAGTTGAGGCATTGCTGTAATGAACTCTGTGTCACATTCTGAATGTGTATAATTATGAGACGGTAAACCATACCTCCATGTACTTGTAAATATAACAGAAGGAGTAAAGTTAAAGTAATCAGATGTTTCTTAAATTGTATTCATATTTGTTGTGACACTCCTCAAAACCTTGGTGACTAAAATACTGTGTGAATGATTTACATGTTTATACTTTCTGTATAATTTTGTATGTAATTTTATATATGGAATCATTATTGCTATGAAGCTAAATAAATGTTGTAAATCAGTAAAATCCATTAATAACTAAAGTAGACCCTCTTGCGATTCACAATTTCGATGATTTGCGGAAAACAGATGGTGGCTAGCTTGTGAGCCTCTCCCTCACAGCAATGAGTTGTCCCACACATCTGCAGCATCTCTAGTGTTGTATTCTCAAAACTTTAGTATTTCTATGTGAAAATGGCCCTTAAAAGACTGGCTAGTAGAGTGAATCGTAAAAGGCAGAAGTCAGTGATGACCCTGACAAAGAAAGTTGAATTACGTATTAAACAAGTTAAAGGGGGGGGGGGATGAATGCTGCCGCAGCTGGTCGGTTGTTTGGTCCGAGAAATCAACAAGGCATTGGTTCCCTACCAGCAAATGTTAAAAGACCTCAAATCCAAGAGGAAACGACAACCAATCACTATGTTCTTCAAGAAATCACCAGCCACTCATTCAGCTGATTCGTCTCCCTCACTCGGTCAGCTGATTCGTCTCCCTCATTCGGTCAGCTGCTTCCATCACCCACCTCTCCACCAACCACTCTGCATCACCCTCTTTCAACAGTGATCCTGATGATTGACCTCCCTATGCTTCAGTACCACTTCATCAAGCTCCAGACTTCCACATACACAGGTAAGTAGTATTGCTGACTAAGTTTTTCATACACAGTAGAGGTGTGCATTTGGGTAGTATAAGTTGCTATTCACGATTTTGTCAATTCGTGCCATTCCTTGGAACCTAACCCTCGGAAACAGCAAGGGTTTACTGTACTTCACAAACTGAAAATGAAATGTATTCAAGGTGCCTGACATTACTGTACTTTCATCTACTGATAGCTGATGTGTGTCTGTACTAAAGAGAAAACAGTAAAGAAGACCATATTCTCGGGCCTATGTGTCAAAAATGGCATTTACAGTACTTGTCTCACCTGATGATCCAGGAACATGAAGGAGAGAAGTCATCAGCTAAGGTGAACCATGAGAGTTTGAACAAGGTAAATAAAACTGAAGAAGAATCACCAAGTTAGACACAACTGCTCCAACAATCTGCCAAAAGAAATGAAAATACATCTATACTGGTACTGAATCCTTTGGACGCAATGATCGAAATCTCGCACTCTGAGCTTCATCCCCCTGAGTGAAACAGTATGAAACTCCTGCACCCTTATAAAACGTCTATTCTTATGTCGTAAACTACAATATTCTCTGAAACTCGTGGTGGCATCTTGTCTCCAGTCACCCCCACACTCTCGAGAGACTGCTATCTACCACCAATAAGCTAGGATTCCATATAGTATATGTTTGCAGTATGCATTTGCATTAAATTGCCCTGAAAACGGACACCCCTGTTATAATATGCATGCAGTGGTCTTTCTAGCGGGAACAGGACAGGAAAGATGTCGTCTAGTGCATCACTTGCTACGACGCTATTTATATGAACAGGATGATTTGCTATTAAACCTTCTTGGTTTGTATAAGATCAAGCATAAATCAAAGGAAAAAATGGACAAGGAAACATAGATTGCTGCTGAATTGGACCAATTATGGAGCCTACAATACTCTGGTAAAAGACCTAAGCTTGGATGAAGAAAATTCAAAGAATATTTTCGTCTGAGCAGACAACAGTTCACATATGTTCTTTCCCTGGTCGAGGAGGATTTGGTGAAACAAGATAGGAATAGAGAAATCATTTGCTCTAGGCAGCGACTTGCAATATGTAGAAATTGAGTCATGCTTATAAATAGGAAATACAGTAATAGGAACCGTAGATAAATAGTAAGTGACACAAAAATTAGGATTCCAGTGAACCTTTTACTGAGATCATGAACCTTCATATAAAGATTTTTAAATGCATTACAAAAATGGGTTGGGATATATTCTGAGTGGAATCAACTTCTCAGTCTCCTCGATAGAAAACTAGTTTTTTACTTGAGGCATTTTGCTGGGTGAGGAGAGCAAACACAGGGATAGTGACATCGGTGTGGGATTCTCAAGTCCGTTTCCATGCGGTTGCATTTAATCGCTATAGGGAGCGATTGGCATGTACTGTACTGCAAATGCATAACGCAGACGCAACAGTGCCAGTGGAAACAACTGTATATTTCAATGTGATCTATTTTTGGTGCTAATGTGTGAATGGAATCCTAGCTTTAGTCAGATACGATATGGAAATTATAATGTGAATTCCGAACGTTATCGAGTGTTTCTGACATCTCAAAGGATCAAAATGGTATTACAATATTTATGTAGCCTAGATTCTCACAGTAAAGTAACTACTGTACTATCTCAGTTTTATTGACAACTATCCACCTAAAACTCCCTCCACAACATAACCATAAAAATAATTATTATAAATTCAATCCACAATGTACGGTACAAGTAATTAAGGAATATTTAGGCTAGTGGACTTCAAGGCTCTTGTAAGGATGAAACACACAACTCACTAACATTATGGTAATACTGGAGGAACTAAAACATATAATTAGTGGCCCCCAAAAGCAAATAATTGACCCTTCAAGACTCCGCCCACTATGGTGTACTAGCTCCAAAAAGTATCTTTACGCACGAAGGATTTTGTCAACCCTACCGAGACAACAGGAATTGCGGTGTTCATTTTAAAATCCATCGGACCCCTCCATAAAGATACCCTTTGGAGTGAGTGTACGCACATTGGGATTTTGTAAGACTAAAAAACAAGCCATAATAATATTTAAGCTTTTAATAATACATACAGGCAAGAAGTTGGAGCCAGAAAGTGTGTAGAGTCCACCAATGGTCATTTCTAGAGGGTCCCCGGCTTCATCACTCAGCTGCTTAACCTGCAACACAAGTACAGTACAATACAGTATACCATAAAATAACACTGGCAATGGTCATAAAGGTTCTGGAATTTATTCAGAAAAGAAAAAGCAGTAATGACCCTAACAAAATAATAATAGCAGTAGTAGTAATAGTAATAAAAGTAGCATATAGTAGTATGAGTAGTTAGTACACTGTAGTTGTATTTTTTCTAGGAGTAAAGGGGATGTAAAGGCCCTATGCCACAGAAACTCCCAGCAACAAACATTAACCCCCACAAACTCCTGTATATGTTGAGAATTTACTGTAGTGTGTATGTGAGAGAACAGATAGAGGTGATGTGACTGGCTGTGTTCATAGGATGTGGAGGTTCGAGGAGTTGTGAAGACATATAACAAGCTTTTATTTGTCAGTGAAAAAGAATACAGTAATTCTACACACCCGTGAGACCAAGAAGTCCTGAGCAGCATCAGTGTGAGACGAGAGTCCGGTGTTCAGCAGCTGACGCACCACATGATGGACATTCAACAACTGAATAAAACAACACCGGGAGTAAACACTGTCACGGCAACACAAGATCATGTATGGTGTAACACATTTCAAGACTTATAAAGACCATTTCTAAAATACCCAACTTAAAAGATGAAAGTTATTTAATATCATAAAGTTGGGAGGCAAAGAGTTGAAATTTATACTAAGACTTGACCAATACAGCGACTGGAGATACTTGACACTAAGCTGACTATTTTCCCTCTTTAATATCAATCAACACAAGGTCACTCACTGTACCTGCTGGTGGAAGGCATCGCCTATGTAACCCTGAACATAGAGCAAGGTGATTGTCAACATCATCGTCATCATCAATGTCAATATTTCGCAGAAAGATGCTGCCTCGGAGAAGAAGAAGGCTGCTCCCACAATTGATATTGCTAAGCCCATTAAGGAGACCAGCAGTGGGATGCTCACCACCTGGGGGTAATAAACAATACTAAGTCAAATAACTAAACACCAATGAATTAAATTAAATTTTTGTTCGTCACTGACAAGCTAAAAATACACATCTCTCCCACTTGATAAACATAGTTTTAGGTTTACCATAACAGTGATAATGCACACACTATACAACCACTGAATAGAAGCCACTGTTTTGTGAATTATATTTGTATGGCAAACTATAAGAAATAAAACACTAGTGGTTGATGTACCTAAGCCTTTACTGTTAATGAATGTGGTTACTGGTGAACAATAACTGTGAAAAGTCCAGAGTCGAACCACCATAATTTATACAATAACAGTAATCTCTCCATTAGCCGGAACCTGTGATTCTCCAATAACAGGAATTTTAAAAATTTATTTTTTGCATTTCAAGAAATTCCAGGAAAATTTTCTCCATTCCGGGAAACCAAACATATTTCTGATGCGGGGACGTGCGCCGGGCGCATGGGTGGGTAGGCTCAGAGTGCTCATGAGCTATGATTGGCCACTACTGTCATGAGACTGCAGGGGATGTCTATGACTGGCTGATGTATCTCACAGCCTATCTCCTCAAACTCTTGCAATATGACACTCTTAGTTCATTGTCTGCTGGCATTGTACAAACTTGTTAACTCTCTCACTGTTATTTTTACATATGATCTGTGTTGTGCAGTACTGTACACCACTGCACCAGAACCAGTTCATAATCAGCCAAGAATAACGTTAAAGCAGTGTTCAGACGTAAAGTTATTACAGTTACATACAGTAAGTGTGAAATGCTGAAACGTTTAACATGGAAACTTCTTTGTAATCTAATGGGTACATATAGTAATTTTGTGGACACCTGATGAGCAGAAAAAAAAAATAGACAGATGCCTCTCTACTGTAGGTGGACCACGTGATTATTTAATAATCAAACAATTCTTAATGATGGGAATCCGAGATGAGACCAATATAGAGACTAATGATTCACCTTGTCCAGTTGGTGGTGCAGGTTGAGGAGCTGGTGCAATTCTTGGGCAGCCTCATCCACTACAACATCAAGATGGCCGTCAGAAGTGCCACAATCATTTTCCCTTGTCATCTTGATCAAGCCTGTGTGCCTCATCGTGGTTCTGCTTCCTGTCCTAGCCAAGTCCCTAGATCTGTATGCAGTCTCCAGCCTGCCACCCAGATAAGCTGCATAGTCCTTTAGTACGTCGGTCACCCCTATATACAGCAGGGTTGGGAAGACGGCAGTCGTCCTATTGATGGCGTGAATGGGCATAACCACTACCTGCATGACACACAAGGAAGGTAATTTAGGTCCACAATTCCGAAATCCGAAAGTTTTCCAAGGAGCATCGCTCGTGTGCACGACATACCCCGAGACGCCAAACATGACCCAACACCGCCGAAGCTTGACCCACGCAGGTGTGAGTCATCAGTTGTGTCTCAGCGCTGCTACCAGTCACACGTGTGTCTGCTGCTCTCTGGTATTTTTGTGATTTTGTGTTCAATTTCACTGTGAAAATGTCAAAAAGAGCTTCAGATACCCCTATGGGTAACAGTAAGAAGAAAAGGAAGCATCTTTCATTATCAATAGCACAGAAAGTGGAGTTATTACAGAAGGTTGATCGTGGTGTACCTGTGTGGCGTCTTACTGAAGAATATGGTGAGGGAACCACCACTGTATATGACTTAAAGAAACAGAAGGACAAGTTGTTGAAGTTTTACACTGACAGTGATGACCATAAACTAATGAAAAATAGGAAAACATTGCTTAGGGCAAAAAATGAAGATCTTGACCGTGTGATGATTGAGTGGATTCGACAACGAAGAAGTGAACATATGCCACTGTCTGGTTTGTTGGTCATGAAACAAGATATAATATATCATGAAGAACTGAACAATGATGGTGATTGTGAATATTCAGAAGTTTGGCTGCACGAATATTAATGTGTTTGCTACCGTACTACTGTAATCAAAAACTCCGAAACACATCTGGCCCCAAGGGTTTTGGATAAGGGATTGTGAACCTGCAATAGTAGTCTGAGTGCAGCTATTTGATATACAATGCACCGTGTGAGGCAGAAACTGGACCATCACCAGCAACAATGGTAGTTTTCAAGCATGCATGTATCAAATAAGCTTTATACAGCACTATCATCTTATACCCAAGTTATGCATGCGACAAGTTTCACAAGACCTACCACAACCCAGCGTGGAGCCGAGACAAAAGTAAGATCTTCCATGTACCACGTTGAGATGAGCACTGCTTCCGTAAGTATGAGCACCAAGAGCAGCGGTGGCCAGAAGAACATTTTCCTGCCCACTTTCTGCCGTACCTCCAGCTCCTTACAGGCTGCTAGGAGGCGGTGCACATCCTGTAAAGAACAGAAATGGTGAGACTTTTTTAAAATAATATCACAGTACAGTATATAAGTTGCTGTATATCCTGTGCCACTGCTGCTTTGAAGTTTACCTGTTAAATGTCTGTGATATGTAGTCAGAATATCCTAATCCCTTTAGTGACCAATATAAATATTTAAATTGTGAGTTAAAAGGTCGTGTTTACTGGTGTTGGTTCAGGCCGGGAATTTTGGGATAACAAAGAGTTTATGGTCTCAGTAATGGGATGGTTCAAATGATTGTTTTATTGTGTATTTAACCAGATTTCTATGTAATGTCAGTAGTGAGGTTAGTTCTCCTTATATTGTTTGAAGTGCATTCATGTATAATATAATGTCCTGTTAAGTTTGTATTTGTTCTTTGGGAAAACAGTTGTTTGTGTTAACAGTAGGGGAAGCTGACCTGGCCGGGTGAGTGTGTGGCAGTTGATAGCCTGCAGTTCATGAGTGAGGTAGCAGTGGTCTTTCATGTTCACAATATTTGGGAAGATTTGTACCAGAGATCCTGGAATTATTGGACACCAAAACCTGTATACAGCTGTAAATATTATGCCATTGTTTTACCGATTGTGTTTTGGTCACCATCCTCCCGCACCATACGTTAACTCTCATGATCTAACCTAATTTCACCCAAACTTAGCTAACAGTAGGCGTGTAGGGGTGGAGGTTGGTGGTGATGTAGGTGTGGTGGTACAGCTAGCTAGTGGTGACATAGTACTGTACAGGCAGGTGGAACACTTTACCTGGGCCTTTAACCTGAACCAGATGAGGGTGAAGACAGCTCCGACAACCATCATTTTGAAGCAAGACAAGTCACATATCATCGCAATGACAGATGCAGTGGTAGATAAGTATTCCATTTCGTAGCCTAGCAGGTGAGAGAGAGGTGGAGAACCTGTTAACAATATTTAGGGGTTTAGATTTCAGTTCCTAGGTCACCTCAGCTTCAGTCCATAAATGTCACCTAAGCTTCAGTCCATAAATGTCACCTCAGCTTCAGTCCATAAATGTCACCTCAGCTTCAGTCCATAAATGTCACCTCAGCTTCAGACCCAAAGTCATCTCTGCTTCAGTCCCCATCATTTCACCTCTTGGTTTAAGTCATATTATCTGGGTCTCAGTGATGGATAATTTCTGGTCTACTGGGATGTCTGCCTGTCCCTAATGCAGAGTCTGAGCCTGTTCATCTGTCTTTCACTCTTGTCTACGAGGATTTATCTTATCTGATTCTGCCTCAGTCTTAGTTTATGGGTACAGTATATTGTGTATAAAGTCCTTCTGTCGGTCTTCCTCGCGTCATTCCACTCACCCCAGTAGATAGCCAAATAGAGTGTGGACGCCATTAGGGACCCAGCCGCAGAGAAGAATCCAACACCAAAGGACCAGTGACCATCGTGGCACCAAGGTAGTAGCCCCAACGTCATACCCAACCATATCACAGGTGCCACTTTCCTAGGGTACCACCTGCCACCACCTAGGCGCAGGCTTTCTCGAATCTCTCGGGTTTTCTCTGCAGGGGTCATCTGTTAGGTGGGTGAGAGTAGGAATTAAATCAATATAATATTTAACCTCATTTACCAATCTATAACTCGGGCATATTTGACATTGAACTCTGACCCATGACCTTCAGAGTGTAATCAGGTACTATTATGTAATGCCTATAAAGCTGGCCCTCTTGATATGCTTAGGACCAATACAAGGCTCTTATTACCTACCTTCTGCGTCCATCCACCAGCACCACCACCTCCCTTGGCTGAGAACAGTGGACCACCTCACCAACACACCTATATTAAGCAGTGTCTATCTAGGACTTTCTACTATACCCCTGACAACCCCCAGACCCCCCCCACAATTACCTGAGGTGGGTACAGTGTGGCATGTCAACACTGGACAGGTATGCAATATAGTGCTTGAGATCACATGAAGATTAGGCACCCTGGCTTATATCACCTGGAGGGGAGGGTTAGGTTAGGTTATATAATGTTATGTTAGGTTAGATTAGCATTTGGGTGTTCATTTATCAGGTGAAATAAGCCTGAGTGCCCATTCTTCATGATATTCTATTGTTTTTCTGGTTAATATTTAATGTAATTACTGTAATGTCTCTTTACTCTAGGCGATGGTACATTTTGTGCTGACTTACGACCTGCATGAATCTTTAATGATCGCCAGCCCTTGTGTACATTATCCTTCCAAGGTATGAGTGTGTTTGTGCCTGTCTGCTTGTTTATAATGTTTACTCCTCTGCCTGTCTGTCTTCCTGACTTGGCATGCACAAACACACTTCCTGGCACATGCACAAAGAAACAAACACATACCATCATCTACAAATACGGTGCACAAAATACATACCTATATTAAGAAAGACCCACGACAACAGTAAATAATTGATGCGGTGTCATCTTCTAACTTAATTCGTTCAATACCAAAAATCATTAATAACTTTTTAAAGGAGAATTTCAGAAGGTAATTACTTTTCTAAACAATACACCAATTTAAAGTCGAAATTGATTATAATTTTTACACCAAAACTTCGTGAAAATGTAACCACTGGAAGCGTTTGCAACTCTGGTATCACCGCCTCACATAATGGGAGTGAAGGTGACGTTAGTGTGGTCACGAGCTGGGAATGTTTGGCTCCACATGTGACCTTTACGGGCTTATTATCTTATAACAACCGGCATTATAATTTCAATCTCCAGCTGGTATGAATAGTTGTGGAAAAATGGCACAAATTACAAACATTCACTTATAAAAATGTGAAGATACTGTACATATACTAGTATCAAAGACCTACTGTAAATACACTACATGATTCTTGGTTCATTTCTGCATCACTAGAGGTACCTAAAAGTGTGTCGCATACAATTACACAGGAGGTACTGGCTCCCCCCCCCCAAAAAAACCGAGTTCCTTTTATATTTCCTAGAACTGGGTGTCCTTAAGAGTGAGAACACCTACCTTAAGAAATATACACCAAACTCCTCTTCTCATATTTCTCACAAATCACATGTTATGGGTCAACGATGTATGGTATTGTTTCACTTACACGCATCAGAGAATTTCACTCCTATGTGGCTCAATGCGGCATGTGGTTAGGTTTGCGATGTTTACGGGGGTTGTAACTGTGAGACGACGGACAGAAACTTCTCCTCCAGACCCACCACAGTTTTGGCCGCGGCGATGTTGTTCTGTTGGCACGACGGAAATCACCATTATGTCAAGAGCTTCATTCTTTAACATGGCTACAATACTAACAAACATTACACACAAGCTTCCTTCTTCACTAACTATTAACATGACTACTAGCAAATATTCCACACATGCTATTATAAACTGAAGGGGACTATTATGTACTGGAGGGGACTATTACAACCTGTAGAAGGAAGAACACACACACACAGTACTACTTTACCTTCTGCTCATTCAGGATTGTGATGAGTTTCTCCTGCTTCTTGACAAGTGCCGAGTAATTCCTCTGTTGTCTCTCCAGCTCCTTCACCCTGGCATTGCTGTTGGCTACCGAGGAACGCAGCTGATCTACCTCCTCCTGTGATGAAAAAGGGTAATGTGGTGTGGAAAATGGCCGTGAAACATTGATGGTGGTGGTGGTGGTGGTAATTGTAGATGAAAAATGATGGTGATGGTGGTGATGAAAATGAAGATTATGATGAAACTTAGTCTGTTCACAATCAGTACACACACACAAGTTATCTGAATATTTCCTTGAGTTATACCTTATGCTTGGTCTTGAGGATGGCCATCTGGTCTCTGAGGGTTGCGTTATCTGCCCTCGAGCGTGTCAACTGAGCTTGGTGAGACGACTGGGCACTGCGGCGCTCACACTCTCCCTGCTGTCGGCTGGATAATTCCTGAACAAAAGAGGGAAGTAAATAAAAGGCTGAACTGATGCTCTTCTTTTTCCCCCCAGACATATTAGCAGAACTGTTATAGTATATATTTTTCTTTTAAACATTTTGAAATTTGTATTAGATGTTTATTACTGTATAATTTTGGGAACTACAGTATAAGATGGTGTATGTAATATTTGCTTTAAGTACCTTTATGTCTGTCAGCTCCAATGGACAAGTTTATCCTGGGAAAAATATACTGTTCATAAATACAGTACAATATATACAAATTCTATGTCATACAGGTTAACTCATTTATGTCTATAGAAAGGGAGCAAAAACATCATCCTATTAACCAAAAAGAACTAGAAAAAGGGAAAAGAAGAAAACTGCTTTGGTCATTCTACACAAAATATTTACTCCAAGATACGGCAGCCACGTCTAACCTTACGCAGACCCTGACACTCCCCGCCGAGCTCCTTGACTCTCTCCTGAAGATGTTTGTTGGATTTCTGGAGCTTGCTGGTCTCCTGCTGCAGCACGTGTACCTGCTTACTCAAGGTGCGTCTCTCCGTCTCTGCGGCCTGGGCTGCTCCACTCGCTTCTCGTTTTGCACATGACTAGAAAGTGATCTCGATGTAATTACCGTTATTTCCCCACTAAAATAAGAGTAATGTTTCTTATGGCAGGGAGGAAATTTATGTCTCCGAGGTAATCAGTGATGTTTCCTTCCACCTAACCAGACTGCTATCCATTGAGCAAATTCTAATCCTACAGGAAATTCTCAAAAGTTAATAGTGGAATTGTCCCTGATAAGATACCAAGCCTCTTAACACTCACCCACTACCACTTCACCTTTCTCTTTGAGCTACTGTACATAATACACCATCTATCTATATATTTATCCTATATATATATATATAATCACTGTAAATTGTAATAATAAAAACACTGAAACAAGATTAACGAGAACTTGACAAATGGTGAAGGATGCCGTGGATAAGACAAACAAGAATAGGTATAAAATTATGTCTATATTCCAAGTGTTATTTCCACTATTCTAGCCACAAGATGATAGTTTTCCCGAGTGCTGGATACAACCATCTCCGTACCTTCATTTATTACACCATTCTTAATAACCCTCCAAGTACCTCCTGATAAATTGCATACAAAGATTTACTACCAACGGCTTCTATGAAAAATAAATAAATGAATAACTAATCACACACAATAGTATACAGCAGAGTATTCATTTATATACTTCACTTTTTCAGCTTAAGGCATCTTGGCACACCTGAAGAATCTCCACCCCAGATTATTTCACTTTAAAGATTAACCACATTAATGTTAACCTCACCTAATCCTCCCAAATAGTGTTAGGGTTGTGACTGTAATCTTTAGGTGAAATAAACTGATTGGAGATTCTTCAGGTGATCCAGCACTTCGTCACCATTGGCTTAAACTGTTTGGATTTTATCAAGATATTTCAAACTTCTTTATCTCCCCAAATTCATTTAGTATAGGATATTACATAAGAATATACAATGCTTTAGTAAATAGACAGTGGGTTAAGTGAGGTCTGGCTACACATTACTGGGTATGTACATTTCTGCTATTTCCTAAAGCTTTCCAAAGACGTTATAAAATTCTGGGTTAAGACTGATTTATAAGATCTTTCACAAACATATCTTATTATATACAGTACAGTAAAACACACCACAAATATTCACTCCAAAGCAACTCACTAGTCTCTTGCATTCTCCCTGAGCGAATTTGAGAGCCTCAGTAAGTGCAGATACTTTCTTGGTCAGCATGTTGATCCGAACCCGAGTGGAATGGTCGAGAAACTCATCAAATATGGCTTCTTCCTCCCGAGTATTACTCTCTTCATCTTCATCAACCTCTTCTTCACCTACATTACTTTTATCAGACATATCCCCTGTTCCAATAGTCTGATTTGATGTCGTACCTGAAGGATTGCCAGTCATCAATTCTTCCTTATTTCTCTTATCAACATCTTCATTGACCTTAACACTTGTCTGGGCTCCAAGACCTCTCATATAGTCATCTGTATCACGACGTTTACTAACCATTACATTCTGATTACTGTTATTTACAACTACATTTTGTACTCTATCAGAAACGTTGCTGGAACTGGTACCGCTAAAATCTGTATTTGTGTTATGTGGGAGACTCCTTTGCTGGCCATCTGATGCTTGAGGGGCAGATCTTGGTCTTGTGCTGGGTCCTGTCACCTGAAAACATAAATGATATATTAAAATGTGACTGATAACTTCACATATGGTATCTACATGTTGTGGATATTAACTAGTACCGTATACAGGTGTATCTGGGTATTTCTACTTGCTGTCATTTCCTTTTCCCGTCACATTTTACACAGGTCATGTACCACTCCCCCTCCTCCCCCTTATAATTTTCTGTGTTCTTTCTTTGAGGTCTCTTTCTACCTTGATTTGCCCTATATAAATATGGAATAGATGTCATTGTGTACGTATGCAGGCACATGTACGTATATAGTACATGTGTGGATGTGCATATGCGTGTGTGTGTGTGTGTGTGTGTGTGTGTGTGTGTGACAATAAAAAACATTTGATCTGTGGTGCATTAGTACAGGTTGGCCAAAAAGAGTTGTCATTCAGCCACCCAGTTTATCAAGACATAATTGAGTAACATACCTAAAAATTGCAATGATGGTTAAGCAGATACAAAGATTGGCTTAACAAATGTAAGTTTATGGTCAGAATAACATGAAAACTGAGAGTACAGTAAAAATGACTAACAGACACTATACACAAAAGAAAATGACTTCTTATATATCTTCATTAAAACACTGTGTAAGTAAAGGTCCTCAACTGATGTATAAAGAATGAAGAACCATCAGAAATATGAAGAGCATGGATGATGAATTCTTTGAGAAAACTAGCATCTGCAGATTAGCCCCCAGCTTATTTCACCTGAACATTACTCCCACCCAGCTTATTTCACCTGAAGATTTAACCACCCTAACACCAACCTAATCTTACATATTTTAATCTAAACCCCCAAAGGAAGAATGAGGGTGTTTAATCAAGTGAAATAACCTAAGGGAGGCTAATCTTCCAGTGATCCCCAAATACTATCATTACAGCAGCACCAGAAAACAAGGTGATAATCTGAACATAAGGAGACAGAGCCTTCGTCCACAACATGCCTAAGTCACCCATGGAATTGAGGAAGAGTACTTATTTGGGTGCAAAGATCAAAAGAGTATTTGTGTACAATTTGATTCAAAACAATCTGATATCACAGACGATGGATACTGCAAAATTTCATACAGTATATCGCTTGCTAGCAACATTTGCTGTTTCATCCATAGTCAGTATTATCATCATATGCACACTCAGAAGAAAATACCGGTATATTAATTTTGTAAACTATGTGTAGCGTGGTTCAGGTTGTGGCATAGGTGTATTGATCCTTTAAGAAAGCATTGAACCCAATGTGCACAGATACTTTTGGATGGGTGTGGACTTGTTTCAAATATCTGCCCAGCAATGAAAACAATTCTTTATGAAAAGTATTTATTTGTATCCTCAAACTGTCTCTAATGACTGAGAAAAGCTTATCCAAACAATTCTAAGCATTATTTTTTGGCATTAGACAGTACTCTCATGTATAGAGGCTGGTGGTGACTGCTCTTGTGTTTCCTCTGGTAAGTGGAGAGGACAACAATAGTCGGTAAGGATAAGATAGAAGAACACCAGCAGTGTTCACCTCTGACATGTGTTCTGAGAAATGAAAATACAATACTTTGAAATTAACTTGACTAGTATGTTCACTGTTAGCAGAGATGCCTGCAACAATAATTATTAATATGTATTTTGTTGAGCATGACCAATGGTAATTTACCCATGGTGTGTTTGAGGGTGTCATTCCAGTCCTCAGCATACAGAGACGGTTCAGCCTCTGGTCCAGTTCTTGATCCATCTGCAGCAGAACATATTCCTCTGGGACCTCACCACAGCCCCCATCACTGCCACTATCCTGAAAAAAATAAACAAGATTTTATTGAACAAATATTATTATCATGTATTTTAAATATTATCATTAATAGGGCCTGAGCTTAGCTTTGTCATTGGTTGTTTACTGCAATGCATTCTAAGAGGAAATTCAGGGTTGTTTTAATTTTGACTTAGTAGAGTTGCATGTTATTTTGTGAGAAAGTGGTATCAGAGGGGCAATTTTAAAGTCTTATGTAATCAAATACAACAATACTGATGACCAAAGAAGATGCCTTAGCTATATGTAGAGGGTTTTCTGCAAGGAACTAGAGTGGAAAACTAGTTTGATTAGAAGGTAAGTCACCAGAAACATGAACCCTCGCTCAATGATCAAAAATGTCAACACAGCCAAGACGCTGATGACAGGTAGCAGTGAACTGAAGGCTACAGTCAACTATACAGTAGAGTTTCATTTGTCAGTTCATGAATCCATTTCACCCTTTACCTTTGATAACCTCAGGGAGTTCATGACCCTGACCTTGCAGTTGTTTCCAGCATCAGGCCCTAAAATTTTGCTTCATCATGCATGATGACAGCCGGGTCAACCAGAGCTGTGCCCATCCCCTGGTCTCTGCTGGATTTTTTGGCCTGCCGTGCTGCCGATACAGAGGGTACCGGGTGAATGCTTCAAAGGCTGGCAATAGCACAGGAGCCTGAACTCAGGTGTAGTGATCTGAAAAGCTGCTCCATCATCAACCACATAATACTGTGGCCAGCTTGGAGCAGTTAGGTTAGAGAGCGGTGACCAAGGCCCCTCCTATTTAGATTAAAAATTATTTTCTTATGTACAGTTTTCTGGTGTCTTGCTTGACCCTTATACTGGATATGTGTGAAATTAACTGAACCAAACATCACTAAACATTTTATAAAAAAAAGATGAAACAAAACTATCAACCCTCTCCTGAACCTTTTCCTTAATACCCAATTCTCCTGAGCTCCTGCCACTCTCTATTATATGTACCTAAACCTTGAGTAGAAAGACCTCGTACTCACTCAGTGTTAAGTCATCGTACTCGAGGCGTTAATCACTTACCATTGAAACAGGAATGAAAGTCACATCCCTTTGCACAGGAGGCTGGCATTTTTGACTACGGTGATAGTGTTGGTCAGAAGAGGCCATTGTTTCTCCTCTATGAGTGAGCTGTTTGTTACTCCAAGTTTAATTCTATTCACTTGTTCTCACTGCTGTATTGAGCCAAGCTGGTGCCACTGTAACAAAATACCCGTACCACTGACTAAAAAACAATGAAAAACAATAATATAAGAAGCTCTAACGACTTCTCTGCACTGAATGCACAATTTACTTTACTTGTAAGAACTACAAGACTTGGCTGTCCTGTATGACATTCTATTTATGTGGTGGAGTAGCTCTTCTGCCTCGAGTCATCAGTGACGTCCTGAGAGCCCTTAATGAGTTCCTTTATCAACACCTTATTAAGTCAGCTAACACGCAAAAATATATGATATCATTCAAACGAATAAACAGAAACGATTATCATACCACGCTTAAAGGTACACTAACTGCATGGGACTGGATCACAGGACGAGAGGAGATAAAATAACCGGAATCATTTCAACCTGGCCGCCACCCGCAACATGTGTAAACATTGTGAGTCCATAGCGAGGCTGAGCAACACGACCTCTCCACCACACCAGGCAGTCGCGAGGCTAAACTTCTTTATTAATGGAACTTGTGAAAATTTAATATATTTCCCTATTATCAAAGGGAATATTCTTTTTGGAATAATAGTAAAAATAATAATAATAATTATATATTATTAAGAATAGGTTTAGAATTAGGAAATGTATTTATGATCAATATATATTAGTTTAGACATGGATCAAAATATTTGTATCAAAAAAATATTTATTTCTTTTTCTAACTTCTACCCACTATTGTAGATATATGCAAGCATGAAATATTACTTATAAACTTACACTATTTTTTAAGGTAAACTTTTCTCATTCATTTTTGCATTGGTACAAAATGACAAGGAACATTATTCTTTGTTGTTTTGTGAATTAATTTCTTTCACAATAATTATTATTATAGTAGTTTTATTAACCACACAAATTTAAGTGATATAAATACTGGCAAATACTTACGAAAATTAAGTTGTCAGTGTCATGGCGCAAGATATCGCTGTCAAAAACGTAGCGTTATTAATCACGTGTACCTTGATACCCTTAGGTTTAAGATATTACTTATTATATCTATATATGAAAGAGATACAATGGCTATAATAATAGACAATATAAAAGCAAAGACAAATCTAGGCAACCATTTTTAAATCTCTTTGTCTGCTAAGGGACGTCGTGCGCCACAGTTGGTGCGGGGCCGCGGCTGTACGGCACAGCTGATTGTGGCTTCAGCTGATTGTGGCTCAAGATGGTGGAGGTGCAGTAGTGGTGTTAGGCGCGCGGCGATATTTGTGGCGTTAACAGGTCTCTATACCACGATGTTATGGATGTAGTTGGTGTAGGAGGTATAGAGGCGGCTGATATGGTCACTATGAGGGGTGAGGGTGTGTCGGTGGGGTCCAGTGGTAGTGGAACCATCTCGGATTCTACGTCTGGACTACAGAATTCTCAAGGTTTGGAGTGCCACACCAATGGTACCGGCGCCAATGGAGATACCCAGTGGAAGATTCTGTCTCAGGATTCTTCCAAGATGAGCAAGATTCGGGAAATAGTGGAGAACTCTGCCAGGTAGGAGTCCCTTTTAAACAGTACCTTCCCTCGCCAGCTAACTTTCAAGGCCAAATAACTCTAGGGAATTACACTGCCCTCTACCGTGGCTTATATATTGTCTCCTCCTGTTACAGTACATGACAATCACAACTAATACACCATTAGCACTTCATCAGACCCAACAAAACCCACTTTAGAATTTGAAAGACTAAAAATCGTATCTCATTTTGACATCACCTAAACCATTTTCCTCATTTGACTTCATATATTGTTGTTACATTTTAAGGACTGTTCTCTGTAGTCTGTATCAGCTAATGGAGTATGTCAGGGGGATTCATTTTGGGACGAGACAATACAACACCCTTAGAGCCATAGTGGGAAGGAAATTAGAGCAAGATGATGAGGGAGGGAATAGTAGAAGACAAAATTTTATATAGAGAACTAAAGAAATTCTCCACTCTAGCTTTATTTCACCTAAAAAACCTCCCTAATACTATTTTGAGTCAAGGGTTAGGTTAGCATTAGGGTTGTTAATCCTTAGGTGACATAAGCTAGGGTGACTTAGGGTGACCCATTTACTGCATGGCTAAACACATTCTGAAAAATTTATGAAAATTACTTGTGATGGCTAGAGATGATTGGTGTATTTTTGTTTTAATCATTATTTATGTTTTTGTTTTATCATTGATGTAAATGTGGTTAGAAAGCTTAGGGAAAAAAAGCTTGACAAAGAGTTAACTTAATTCACGGCTAAATATCTATTCAGAGAGGAAGGACAATTGTACATGCAACCTGTGGAATTATACAATGGAAATATAATAATGTATAAAATGTTTTAATTGTGTCACTGTTTCGTAATGTTGTACTGAGGTGACTGTAATATCAAGCAGTTCTTTTAAAATAGGCAGAATGAGCTAACCTAACCTAACCTAACCTCTGGTACATACTAAAGTTAATGAGTAATTATGATCGTTAGGTAAGGTTAGTTTGATTTAATTTACCTGGCAATGCAGTAAGAAAATGCCAACCAAGGTATTTCTCGCAGTAGAATAAATTTTAAGATGTGGTTTGCGATCTTCACTACATTGCATTGGTTCTTATGATGTGGCAAGTTGACAGTGCATGGCCCTTGGTGCACATCACTGAGTACTGTCAAGCTTGAGTACTATTATGTCCTTATATATCACTCAGTGGTTTATTTACATTAGACTCAGCCGCAGTGCCGGGTTTGGTCGATACACCGAGGAGGCCGCTTCTCACTGCCGCCTCATTGAAGTAAATAGAAATTAATGGAACAAAAACTTGGGTGTATGCAGTATTTCCTTGTCTTGATAAGTGGACACAATTGGGTAAAATTTTAAGTTATGGTCATTCCTGTGTTTAGATATCCAAACTAACCTAACCAACCGAACCAACCAACCTAACCTACCTAACCTAACCTAACCTAACCTAACCTAACCAACTTAACCAAACCTAACCAGCCTAACCTAACTGATTCCCCGGATGACCGAAACTAAAATAATACCCAAAATGGAGCCTGAAATTTACCATTGGTTTTAAAAGAATTTACGTTATACAAAATTAGCGGACTGTGTGTTTTTATATTGGATCAGAAGAAAGTAATATCCTTTTAGATATCAACACTAAATATCATCTTTAGACAATAGACATGTTTGAATATAAGATCATTAATAATTTCATAAAGATTTTGTCAGGATAGTAGTTAAGTTATATGTGTAAAGTATATTTATATAACCAGAAAGAAAGGTTTGGAAGCAACGTATGACTCAAACCTGCTGAGCTAAGAAAAGTCCTCAGCATTATTAGGTTGTGATATAGATTTAGTTGGTTCAAATGTGTGTGTGTGTGTGTGTGTGTCAGATTCATATTTGCCCACACAGTACAGCGAAGGTGGCTAGTTTATTGGGCACTTCTTCAGATATTTTGTAAGGCGAAGCGCAGAGGCAGTGCGTCGGCCCAACAGGGATGCATTCGGAGTTGATGCTTGCCTTTTTAGACATAGATGATGGGTGGGCGAGAGGAGTCGATGTGCGAACTTGGATCACCTTTAGATAGATATTAGTACCTCTTGCTTATTTCTCCTGATGGTAAAACACCCCTATGGTCAGTTACCGCAGCATACATAACTTAACCCCCCCTAGGTAGCATTGGAGTGTTTAATCATCAGGTGAAATAAACCGGGGTGTCTAATCTTTTGGTGATGTGAGTGTTTTGCCTTATAAATGGTCGTCAAATTCATATTATTCTTGTATTCTGTCCCTGGAGCTGTGTTCTGTGCTTTGAAGTAAGAACGGTGGCATAGATCATGTCAAAAAGAAAGATCAACAAATAGTATGGTTAGGTTAGGTACCACATAGTTAAATTTACTCGTGAAAGGGTTTGAGAGAAGAGAAAAAGAGAGAGGGAGAGAGTGAAGGGGGTGAAAGTAATTAAAGACCCTTCACTTTCCTTCCTTTCCCTTCCTGTATCTGAGTTGACTGCACATTAATCACTCATTTAGGAAGAAGCTGTTTAATTATTTAGCTAACCTGAAAATAAAGACTCGAGATGGGAAGACAAGGGGGCGGGTGTGAAACGAAAAGACCATATAGTTATCTCGACGACCGGACCTTTATCACAAGCACTGGGTAAAGGTTAAGAAGATGATACCACTCGTATATACTGTATTGGTATTTGCTGTCCAGATTATTAACCTAACCTCCCTCTTCCAGCATATATTACCTGGTGGTTAATGCTTTAGGGGTTAGGTTAGGTTAGTATTAGGTGGGGTTAATATTAAGAGTGAAATAAGCTAAGGGGGGTGTTAATCTTCCGGTGTTGTAGAATTTTAGTGATGAGTAAGGATTCAAGGCTCAACCATTACTTAGAGAAAAATGATCAGTGGTTATTAGTTTTAGTTGGTTGGTTTTTGTTCCCTTTGTTATTGATGAGTAGTTTTGGGTTTTTTTTGGGGGGGGGATTTCTTACATTTGCAATAACTGTAATATTTTAAGGAAGACTAAGAATTTTACAGAATCTTCCCTAGTGTTTGTAAGTGCAGCGTATGTGATCTTAGCTCAGTGTATGCATGTTTGGTGATTTTAATTTTTTCAACCTTAGAGAGAATATTAATTTAATCTTCAGTTGCCAAAGGGATTTATTGATAGTAATGCAAACAAGGTATTTGAATTTTTTAGAAGAATTGTGTCTGTTTTTAGAAGAATTATGACCTTTTAGAAGAATTGTGTCTTTTTAGAAAATTTTTATATTTTTTTAGAAGAATTATGATTTTTTTAGAGGAATTGTGTCGTTTTTTAGAAGAATTGTGATTTTCGAAGAATTATGAATTTTTTAGAAGAATTATGAATTTTTTTTAAGAATTATGACTTTTTTTAGAAGAATTATGAATTTTTTAGAAGAATTATGATTTATTTTAGAAGAATTATGATTTTTTTTTAGAAGAATTATAACTTTTTTAGAAGAATTATAACTTTTTTAGAAGTATTATGACTTTTTTAGAAGAATTATGACATTTTTAGAAGAATTATAACTTTTTTAGAAGAATTATAACTTTTTTAGAAGTATTATGACTTTTTTAGAAGAATTATGACTTTTTTAGAAGAATTATGACTTTTTTAGAAGTATTATGACTTTTTTAGAAGAATTATAACTTTTTTAGAAGAATTATGATAATGGTTCAATGAGAATTTACATTTACTCTAACCCTTGGCAATAGTGTACAGATGTTAGTCTTGTTCCTCATACAGTATTGAGAGTGGGAGGTCCACTTCCTCCAGGTCGTGTCATGCATGTGGTGTCTTTATTGGTAACCCATAAAAATTTATCATCATGACCCAGACTGTAAATGTGATGATAAGTGCCTGTTATTAATTCTGGTGTGTGTGTGTGTGTGTGTGTGCGTGCGTGCGTGCGTGCGTGTGTTTTCCTAGTTAGACTATATATTAGTTGCGGTGTTGAATGTCGAAAATTATTTAGTGTCCTTGATTTTCAGAGGACATTCAGCTTGACATGTTTCTTAAGGCAAAAGATGGTATTAACCTTAAACCCACAGCCCAGTCCTAGACCAGCTTACCACACCACCTTATTTCCTCTTGTCTTGTGATATAGTATCCAGCTTATTCATTGATGTTATTCTCCAGTTACCTATCAGTGTCTGGGTCACTACTTAAGCATGATCTACAATGATAATGCAGTTAGTATTGTTGTATTGATTGGTAACCGTTGGTGTATAGTACAGTGGTCAGCAAACCGAGTGGTTTTTAGTTTGATCCTGAAGCAGGGTGAACTATGGGAAGGTTTCTTTGTTATTTGTATTAGGGGACTTTGGTGTGAAAATGGCTCAGGGTCAGGTGGAGGTAATGACAGCAGCTTCTACACCTTAACCATATTCATGTCTATGTATCATTAGAGTTGGCCGGCCTCCAACACGAGGGGTTACCTGTATTAGCTACTGCACTTACGTTCATTGAGAGTCATGGTGTAAGAAGAATTTCAGTGAATTTGTTAATATATATTGGGAGCAAAAAAGAATTTAGTTTGGGGAAAGATATTTTTCCATTTATTCTTTTAGCAGTATATAATCAAATTCCACATAGAGAAAATTTATAATGTTGTTTCCTATGTGTCTGACAGCATAAATATTAGCATCTCCTCAATGTATCTTGATGTTTGAATACCAGTACAGTAGAGTACTGTGCTGGACCATTTAGAGTACAGTACAGTACTGGGTACAGATATAAACATACAACTTGATCAAGATTGGCCAAAGATTCCTCAGTCTTAAATATTATGCTGCCTCGTCATCAAAATGGTGATAAATGCTGTACTGTACGGTATATTTAAATGCATAGTTTTGACACAAACATCACTGCCATACATACAGTGTTTGTATTGAGGGGGTATTTTTTTTTTTTTATGCCAAATACAAACTGAACCCCCAAGGCCACATACATACTGTGCAGTGCAGTGTGTTGATAATATGACTTGTGACAGTACTA